AGACATCGCTATACGAATTAAACGTTTTGGCTTGTGACCAAGGAGCTAGATGTGGATATACTTTGGTTCGAGTTCGAGTGAGCGATGAAAATGATAATTCACCACGGTTCCTTTTACCTGAATACAAAACATGCATTCACAGTTCCCTACCAGTCAATACAGGATTCCTCACGGTTAGACTTACAATAATAGTTATATACAATTTAAAACCATACATAAACTAACTTTAATATTGTAATTATTTTTCATACATAATAGGTGAAAGCAGTCGACGATGACCAAGAACCATCTGGTCAAATTACTTATTCAATCAACGATATTGAACCCAGCGACATAACAAAACTAATGACTGTGAACAAGTATACAGGAGCTCTTGTTCTACTGAAAACAGTTGAATCCTTAAGTATGCATTTTTTTAGATCAAATTTTTAGTAGTGACAGATCTAAAATGAAATCAATTAATTTTTAATTTCTTTTTTTTTAGAAAATAATGTGTATCAATTTTTTATACGAGCAACGGATAGTGGATCCCCACCAAGACAATCAGATGTTCCTATAGAGCTATTTGTGTTATCACCTGAAAACCTACCTCCTGTATTCCTTCAAGAAGACCAGAAATTTAATTTAACAGAAAATTCTCCTATTGGTATGATCTAGGATACTTTTTATCTCAAAACTGAATAGGTATTATATCAACATGCATTTTTAATTTATTAGGCACTATCGTGACAACTGTAAAATTGGTATCTCAAGTTGAAACCAAATATAAAATCACTGCTTCTGATGAGACCGCCAAACTGTTTACAATAAACGATCAAGGTCAAATAACTGTCACTGGCTTGTTGGATAGAGAAAAACAAGCATTCCATATACTTGGCGTGTTTGCATACACCGAATCATCCCCTCCATTAACTGCATTGACTGAAGTTTATGTAAAAGTATTAGATGAAAATGACAATGCTCCAGAGTTCGACAATGACTTTTATAGTGCCAGAATATCAGAAGCCATTGCTGAAGGCACTCTAGTGGTGAAAAGTAATGCAATATTTATATTTTAATTCGGTTATTTTTCGTTCATAACCAATAATTGTGTTCATACTTATAGCCCATGCGATTGACTTAGATGAAGGCAAAAATGGTGAAATCAAATATTTAATAAACTCCAAATCTAATGTACCATTTGTGATCGATCAGTACTCAGGATCAATTAGTGTTTCTGTATCAAGTTTGGATCGAGAAGTAAAATCTTCTTATATGTTTGATGTAGTAGCCTTTGACAGTGGAACACCATCATTCAACTCCACTGTTAAAGTACATATATCTTTGGTTGACTATAACGACAACCCATCACGTTTCTCTCAAGCTTCATACGCAGCATCAGGTAATACAATTATTTCAACTCTGAAATGTAAGTCACATAACTTAACACGATTTTAACATCACAGTCGAGGAAGATTCGCTACCTGGAACAGTTGTGGTACAATTGACATTAGTGGACGATGACAATGAATTACCAGCCACATTAATGTATCACATTCGTGATGGGGATATTCATTCCAAATTCGCCATTCGGTCAACTGGTGAAGTTTATGTAGCCAACACATTAGATCGAGAAACATTAGACAATTATCAACTTTCAATATTAGTTACCGATGGAACTTATGTTTCAACTACACAGCTCCATATCACAGTCACAGACGTTAATGGTATATCATACACATTACACACTCTAAACAATAAAAACTATTTTAATTAAAAATTATCATTTTATTTTATTATTAGATGAAAAACCTTACTGTCTTCATCACCGCTACAGAAGAATGCTTTCAGAAGGAGTGCCAATTGGCAATTTTATATTAAAAATAGAAGCTCGTGATGCTGATTTAAATCCAAAATTACGATATTACCTAACTGGCTATGGAGCAGAACACTTTAGTTTGGATATAGATACTGGTAATTTTTATATCAAAACAACTTAATCTTATTTATTAGAACAATTTAACTTGAATAATTAAGATTTTTATTTGTTAAACCGTACATTTTAAATTAAGTACTAGATGTTTTGAAACTGAATAAAAATTCAAAATCCACAAAATATTTTACTTAATTTAACATAAATAAAATATAATATATATTATATTAAAAAACAAATATTGTTCATGCTTACAGGCCTATTAAAAACAGCAGTGACTCTAGATCGTGAACTGCAGTCACGTTACAACTTAGAAGCACACGTGCAAGACCGAGAGAAAAGCGAATGGGAATGCGTATCCAAAGTAGAAATTACAATGTTGGATATCAATGACAATGCTCCATTATTTATTTCTAATAATAATAATACTGCCTCATTGTCAGAAGACGCACAAATTGGTACCATAGTGATCAAGATGCATGCGACTGATGCTGACATAGGTAAACTAAAATTGGATGTAAATATTTGTTGAACTATGTAACAAACATTATTATGATTTTTCTAGGTCTAAATCGAAAACTCAAGTTTTCATTACAAGATTCAGCTGACAATCATTTTATTATTTCGTCCGATAGTGGTATTGTAACACTAGCTAAAAAATTGGATCGCGAAACTTGCGAGACCTACAATATTTCTGTCAAAGCCATTGACCAAGGTTCCCCTCCACTTTCAAGCATCACTCAGTTACATGTAATTGTATTGGATGTCAATGACAACCCACCAATATTTGTCCAAAGGTTAGTTAAATCAACAATTGTTTGCAATTTTATCTAACATTAAACTGTCTTTTCAGAACATACTATGCTACTGTTACTGAAATTGCACCTATAGACACTGAAGTAACCAGAGTATTGGCTACATCACTCGACTCTGGTAAAAATGCCGAAGTAGTGTATTCCATTGCTGGTGGCAACGAACACAACAAATTCTCGATAAACTCAGAAACTGGTGTTATAAGTGTGTTTGAAATGCTCGACTATGAAAGAGTGCGTGACTACTTGCTGACAATACAAGCAACAGATCTGGGCGAACCCCCATTGAGTAATCAGGCAATGGTGAACATAACAATTTTGGATGCTAATGACAATGCACCAATATTTGGTCAACTGGCGTATACCACCCAAATCGATGAAGACGTACACGTTGGTGAAGTTGTTATTAAAGTTTCGGCAACTGATTTGGACAGTGAACTTAACGGTAAAATACGTTATGCCCTGGTTAAAGGAGACCACCATCAGCAGTTCGCCATTGACTCTTTTACAGGCAACATAACTGTTGCCAAGCCTTTAGATCGTGAACAGGTAATAATATATTTTTACGGGCATTCAATTTATTTATTTTTTTTGCATTTATATTGTTCAGTATGTTAAATTGATGAAATATATAATGGTTAAGGTTTCATTAAAAAGTATTTTTCTATTACATGTAATATTTGAATATCGTTTTTAAACAATTAATTTTTCTGCACAGGTATCAACTTATAATCTACAAATTCGTGCTACCGACTCTGGTGTCCCTGAACTCATGAGTTTCGCATTAGTCCAAGTACAAGTGAATGACGTTAACGACAACCCTCCATTGTTTTCACAGCATAACTATTCAGCATTGTCCACGTAAGTATTATGTTTAACATAGTTAACAAATAGGGGTAACTAGCGCCTCCCTCCGCTAATATACAAAAAAAAAGACAGAAATAGCTCTCAACATTTTTTTTTTTTTTATACAGTTTTAAGGCTTTCTATGAATATTTTTTAAATTAACTAAACAATTTATTACGACATTATTGTTGCAAACTTATTTTTGTCAAAACAAGTTAATAATATTATGTTCAATATTATGAAAATAATTTGGTCTGCAAATTTGGGAATCATACATTTTGTGTTCAAATACAATTAAAACTTAACATTGCAATCAAAATTGCAACAGCACAGGAAGAAAATAAAATTAACATTATTACATTTGAGTTTTAATGGGGACTGTACAACGCCTCCACATGAGATAACTTGCATTTAATATTTATTGGGATTATAGCACCCTCACTCTAGGATTTTTACCTAGTTTCATAATAAACACGTACACACAAAAAAATACTCACCCTCTGTTGGCATTTGTACACAATAATATTATGTTTATATCAACTTTTCAGGAGGACAAAAAAACCTGGTTGGATTGTTTGTCCAAACTATCTGTGACAGATGCAGATTTAGAACCGAATGGTGGACCATTCACATACGACATTCGCAACAATGATGACGGCAATGCATTCAGTATTGATCCTGATGGTACAGTTAAGACAGCTATGCTTCTAGACCATCGTTTCCAACAGAACTATAAGCTGCTTATACGTGTATTTGACAATCACAAACCATTTCTGCATTCCGACACATGGCTTCATAGTAGGTAAAAAACGCTGCGTTGTTTCCTATTTTATAGAATAAATATTAAAATTCAAGACTGTTTTTGTATGAAGTACAACATGTAAAAAAACATTGTTTAATATTTAACTTTTACAGTTGTATGCATTGTAATTGCACGTACAATTGATATCCTAAATTAAACAAACCAATTTTATTTGCATAAATAATCTTTGAAATAAAACGAAATTGTTCACCGGGGTATAACTTGTTTCTAACTGCACCATATTAACGAGGTAATCGAAAGAATCACAGTTCCGACCTATTATAACACACACTAGCAGTCTGGGTAGGATCTTGGCAAGACCGTTGGCCAAGAGGATCATTAGGACATGTGCACGCCACTGACCAAGATGAATATGATACATTGGCATATTATGTAATGAACCACAATCAACTATTCAAAATTGATGAGAGGTCAGGAGAGATAAGAGCACCGCAAGGATTAGACGCTGGCTATTACTCCCGTAATGTATCGGTCAGTGATGGTAAATTTTCGTCAAACTCCACAGTTAATGTGGTTGTAGACTCGCTGACTGATGATATGCTAAATGAAGCCATCAGTATAGGTATAGCATAAACAATAAAAATATTGAATTTTCAGACAAATCACAATGTTTATAAATTGTTATAGGTTAAAGTCTGTAACACCGCAACATTTCATATCCAGCCAAAAAAAATTGTTGATGCGTACATTAAAATTGAATCTGGGTGGATGTAATTTGATCAGCATCCAGGACGCTCCGCAAGGCAATCTAGATATTTTACTCTACATCAGAGGCGTAAGTTGATCAATCTTTTTGTTGAATTTAAAAACAACATTACCTATTTTACCTATCTCCTAATTTGTTGAATTTTATTTTCTAGGGAACTGATTTAAACACCATGCACACTGCCCTTCAAAAGGCTGGCTTGGTCATATCAAACAATGTACCCCCTTGTAATTGTACGCCTGGCCAGGGTGTGTGTAGTCAGCGTATTACTTGGCTAGCAGATCAGGTGCAGACAATAGTTACCGATATGGCAACATTTGTGGCGCCTGCACATACCCATCAACCGCATTGCGCTTGTCGATTAGGTTTTGTCGGTAAACGATGCGAAAACAAAATGACATCAGAGTGTCAGTGCTCTGTGGACGAGATTTGTGTACCGGATAATGAAATCGATGGGACATACAAGTGTGACAAGCCACGAGGTGTTGGAGACCGTTGCTTGGCCGGGAATGAAAATCCCTGTTGGCCCCCAATTTTATCTAACTTACACATAACTTGGATTCAACTGACTGCTGCTTCAGCGGCCTTAGTTTTTATCATTATGGTCATATGTGTATTGATCATATGTAGGTCAGTAATTTCTTTGTCATTAATCGTTTAGCCGAAAATACTCGATTCTATTTTTTTTTATAACCAATTGATTGCTCTATTGTAGGAAGTGTCGTGTGAAACGTCGAAATGCTCGTCGCAACAAGAATATACATGTGTTGAACACAGAATTCAAAAGAACCGCAAAAATCAGCAATTTAGAAGTTGCTCAGGTATGTGTGCGCTTAACACCACTGCATTCATCATTTGTTTTCTTTTGTAATACTAAATTTGTTTTTGTCTTTTAGCGGCCAGTATCTTATACAGCTATAGCGAGCAACCCAGACGCAGCTTACATGGCTGCTGTAGCTGCGAATCAACTTAATAATTTAGACACTCTGAGGAGTTATGGTTCAGCTGGTGATGACTTAGAAAATGTGCCACTTGATTATTTACGCAACTTAAACCGTGGTACTAACAACAAAATAATGAACGGTAAAGGTAAGAATATATAAATGTACTAAAAATAAATAATTAATAAAATAAAAGTGTAAGTTTATTTATTTAAAAAAAAAAAAATCAATTTGTTTGCTTAATTTATATAACATCTGAAATTTAACATACATTTTACTTTAGGCGTGTAAAAATTAGAAATTTTTATTAATTTTTGAATATTTTGTTTTACAACATAATAAATAAGCACAGAAGTAATGATAATAATATTTAATATTTGCAGTATAGCATATATCACAGTATTGCTTTTTGATCACAACCAAATTAATATAAACAAAAACAATTAATTAAAAAATTTTCTCAGAAATTTCAAATTTAGAATTTTCCTGCATACATCACTAGCATGCTCATTATAACATCATTTTCTTATTTTTTTTTTAAAATGTTTTTGATATTTTTATTTTAAGCGCGTATGAGTTTTTAATAATGTATTTTACTCACTAACCTATAAAAATATCATTTTTAATTTTGATGATGTTCCACACAAATTTTAATACTAACAAAATTAAACTGCTGAACATAAATTTGTTTAATGTTGTGCACTTAAAAGACAGAGGCATCAAATTTATTTCTTCAAAAATATTGTTATAGACCTCAAAGTGATTCCGGACGTTACCAGAGTGCCAAGAATGTCAATGCACTGTCCTGAAGAAGACACAAAAATACTAGGTGGTTACCATTGGGACTGTTCGGACTGGGTGCGTCGCAGCCAAAACCCTTTGCCCAATATCAGTGAAGTGCCTGGTAGTGAAGTGCCCGATTCATCTAGTTTCCACAGTGACAGCAACGACGAAGTGCAACACCATAATATAATAGGTAAGTTAATATTATGATTTTTCATATTGCCTTAAGATAATAATGAATAACTGTCCTACAGATCCAGCCAGGGATTTGGAAACACTTGACGAAGAGTTATACTTATCATACCGCAGCGAAGACGATGATGTAGTCACATACGGTTTTCCACAACGATATCCAAGTCAGAGTGAACTTTCCACTAATGTATGTGAAATCGATGATCCAGATATGCCAATGTCTACCGCTGTATGAGGGTACATAAACATCATAGAACATTCCATAAGACGATTATTGTCTAAAAAGTCGATTACTCACTTAAGTACTGACAATTTTCGTTTTTTTTTTTTCACATTCATTTTGTATAGAATTAATATTATTTATTATTATTTTGACCCATTTAGTATGGGAAGACTGAATGCTTTTCTTAATGTTTAACTATTTACGTATGTAAAAATAAAAAATGTACTTCTGTGATAGTTTGAGAACTTTTTTTCTAAATTTTTTTTTTTGTACTTAGTTATAATTTTGACCGTAGCATTGAATTGTTAAAAAAGAAAAACCCAACAACCATTGTCCTGTGCATACAAATATTTTATAAATCATTATTTTTAATAATTTTCATTTCCCGTTGGAAAAATGATCTCTTACCATATCCGCCACCTGTGTTTATCATTATCTAACTGTCATTGGATTGGTACAGACTGTACTGTACTCCTAATATATTCCACCTAGTCCTTACGAATAATTATTACTGAACCAGTGCTAATATATCTGGTGCTAATAATAGGTCCATCATACTTTTATTCTATACTTAGTATAAAATGTTCATTATGATTGTGTACGTTTATTATATCCCCCCCCCTTACAAATGACTGAATGAGGCATCAGGCAATAAATGTAATTATATTTGTTCTTGTAACTATTTTTTTTTGTTTTTCAAAAATATATTGTGTTCATTAAAGAGAAAAAATATTATTATATGTAAAAGTTTTATATTAAAGTTCCGCGACACTGTGCCATTCCAATAAGAAAAAAAAATCCTATTTAGTTTTTAGTTTTTGTGTCCTGTTAATAATTGTGAAACAACCTGTTGTTTTTTTTTTATTTTTGTAACAATGAATTATTGTAAATAATTAAACAATTAATATTATTTCTCACGCCCTCTCCGCCAAAAGTGCCTAACTATTTTTTTTTCTCGTTTAATTTTTATGTAATATATTACTAAAATATTATTATACATTATTTTTCTAAACATTAAACAAAATATCGAATTACTAAACCGTGTACGAATAACATATTTAATATTATATATTTATAAATATTTATAAATTTATAGTATTAATATATACTAATACAATACATACACATGCATAATATACATCTACTTAATATTGTTTCTGTAGTGCGATACAAATTAAATTAGTGGAAATAGGAATGCACATCTCGGAGGAGAGAAACTAAATTATTTTGTATTTTTACAAATTTGGACTGCTGTCTAAAAATTATTACTTAAAACTTATGACTTGTGTGTGTGTATGTATGTATGTATGTATATAAATATATATATATATATATTTATAGGAGTTGATTTATTGTTACGTTAGGATTTGAGTTATACATTTATATTGTAAGTTTCGTACATATTATATATTTTTATATGGACAAATGTATAGATTATTTTTATAATAAACTAAGTATGACTTGATTAATAAATAACGAAAATAATTGTTTTATTGTCTGGTCATTTAACGGCCTTGCGTTTTTTAATGACATTCGCATAGCTGTTTTTCCTACAGAGTTCTATTTCCGATGTTGTACTCAAGTGATATAAATTATTATTTTCATTTATTATAAAGTTATATTTGATAAATTGTGTGCATAAGATTAGGTGTGTATGAGGTACAAGTCTACTCTGCCGGGCGACCTTTTTTTCTACAAATTTTTGTTTTGGAAAGAGGACGAAAAAGAGATGAATTGTAGGAAATTATTAGTTTAAAAGTTATAACACATTGTGAGTATTAATACTTCATGTTAAATAACTCAATACCTGTTACAATCATCTAGGTATGACATTCTCACTAAATGAAAATATTATTCATTTCTACAGATACTCAGACTAAGCCCATGAACCTTACAAAGGAATCTTTTAGTAATTTTTATTCATTTTAATATCCATCTAAAGAGTTTTAACAGTTTTATACTGTCATTGACCATTGTACAGAAATTGTTGCTCACTGGATTCATAAAACAACTACCTATTTAAATACTAATAAGTTAATTTTTATAACTGTACATAAATTGTTTTAAACATTTTTTAATTAATATAACCGGCAACAACCCTACCACAATCATATTCTTGATTAAAGACAAGTTTAAACATTCGATAAAAACTGACAGTAAAATCATATTTTATTATATGTATATTTACAGGCGAGCCCTTTTTACAAATATGAAATTGCCATAAATTACAAAAAAAATTAAATTAAAGAAATAACAGGTACAATGATAAATCCATAGATTGTAGTGATATAAGACAATAATTTCAATTAATGTATGGATTGGTTCATTAGACATATAATTATTGGTGGAGCATCTAGGAATGTGAAATGGAGCATTTAGACAAGTTGGAAAAGATGAAACCCTAAAATTTTTTTTTTTTATTATTATAGCTTCAAGTTACAACTAATATAGCTCATCAATTATGTAATAGAAAAGTACAAATTAAAAAATAAAACATTTAAATATTATGACATTTAAACCATAGATTTTATATAATAAAGCCAGCATCCAAAATAAACTTAATAATACATTTAATAGTGAAGATGCAATTAGTATTGAGAATGGAGTGGAGATTAAAAGGACAATTGAAAGATCTAAGAGAATTAATTAAGTCTAGACGTTCGGTTATCAGAGCAGGGCAGTCGAATAATATATGAGATGGATCGCAAATACTCTCATCGAGATGCAGTGTACAGAAAGGGGAGTCATTTAAACCGAGTTTGAACGAATGACTGGGTAATAGAGAATGTCCTATGCGTAATCTGTTAAATTGTGTAATATGTGATCTGTGCAGATCTAAACTCTAAAATTAATTCAAGATAAAAGGTTGATGAATCAATTGTACATCAGATAATACACTTAAGCATTTTTGGCTAACTTGAAGTCCGCGGATTGCCAGTGAAAAAAGATTTAGTTGGTTGGTGATAGGCGTGTAATCATGCTCAGCATTTAAATTTTATATAAAGAAAACAACAAATTTCAAGAGTAATATTATATTATTACCATTATTATTTATTCATTATGTACTTATGTACAATAACTTAAAAACTATAAATATTTTTTGTTGATATTCTATTCAGTCTGCAGAATTTTACACTGAACAAATTTGTTTTTTATTAATAATATATATATAATAGACACTGCAGTCTAGGCATAACTGTGAAAAAAAATGTTAGTATGACTTCAAAAATAAATACATTCATTGAACTTTCAATGAAATCTTTTAGGATGTTGTAAAAACTAAATTTAAAAAAAAAACTACATAATATACATTAACAGAGTAAAATGATTAAAAACATTTAAAACTATAAAATATTATTTGTTAATTACATTAATTTAAGGGTGTACATTAACATTTACACAATTCTTACCCAATACCGGTAGATTTGTAGCCCAATCTGGATATGGTGGTTGCAATACACCTGACAACATCATGTCTTTAACACTATCTATTATATTATCACCTTTCAGAACCACTTTGGTTTTGCACATCTTGCCGGCTGGATTGCTATTGCTGAAAACTGACATATCACTCTCCACATTTATTGTGAACTCGTTAAGTACCAAACGTTTTTCCCCAAATAGTTTTTGAACATATTCTTTAACGTCTTCTTCCTTGTGATTGTTAAGCAATGTTGGCACTTCCTTTTTTTTTTGATTATCTCTATTCTTATCTTCCAACAAACTAACCATTGACGGCAGATGTTTGCCCGACAGTGAGTAGGCCTTACATTTACTGGCACCGACTGATTTTATAACAATTTTCAACAGTCTATTTTCAATATTTTGTGGTTTGTAAAAAACATGGAACACTTTTCCCGGTGCTATGGTGAAAAAATATGGTTTGTTTAATTTTACGGTAGTTTGTTTTATTTTTGTATCATTAATATCTATTAAAACCCAAAACAATTTGTTACACTTCATAACATATGTAACTGCTTTAATATTCAATTTGTTTAACATGGCCTCAATATTATTTCTAATTATCTCTTTGTCTAATAATTGTTTGTTAACTTTATCAATAGTCACTGTCCACCACTGACTATTTTGATGGAAGATGGAGTCCACTAACAAGACTCGATGGTATGTTTCATCAACAGAATCACCATCTTTTAAATGCTGATGTACTACTGTCACAACATTTGCAACACTTAAACGTAGCCGGCATTCAGATACTATATTGATAATATCTTTCCATTCCAGGTTCAAATGTAAGATTTTGAATAGCTGTTGAAGTTCATTCATGTTGAACCTTTTCATCTTCATTAAAATTTTGTCCAACATCAGTTTTTTAATTTCCGCCATTTCTTAATGATATCAAAGAACTAAAACACATAAAATCAGAAAACAAAATTATAGAATATTTTCACAAAATAATATTTTTAATAAAAAAAAATGTGATTTTTTGACAACAGATAAACTTATATATTCATGCCTAACAACGAATTAATGAAAGCAATTTTTTTGATTTTATTCAAAAGATTCTAACCGAGCCATATAATATTTAAAAGGTTAATAAAACTAAATTGTATAATCCATTACAAAATAAAAAATAAACATAATAAAGGCCAGTATTACAATCATTGATTACACTTCGATTAAGCTTAACCGACTGATAACAGATTTTATTACCGACCGAATTCTGCTGGTTAGGAGTCCGTTAAATTTAACCGGAGATGGTAATACTGGCCCTAAAATGTTAATTATACTGCTAGGGGTTTTACTTCCAAATTTGTTTTAGCAATTTACAATCTAAACCAATTGAATCAGTGGTTTAAGAAATTTGATTTACCTCAAAACCCAAACTTTGAAAAAAAATATATTATATTCTGAAATAAGAGGGGTAACATCTTGGATTCTACACTATTTTTAATAATGGATGAGTCTGGAGTTTTGTGAAATGTGTAGATCTATATATGAGCAAAACTGCAATAAAATTATTTCAATTTTATTTTTTTTTTTTTACAAGTTGGGTTTCTCAAACGACTAATTTAATTAATAATAATATTACCATAGTAAAAATGTAACTTGACAAATTAACCTCATAAAAATAAAGTTTACATTATGAACTCCACAATTATTAAATTATTGCTAGCAATTATTATTTATTAGTATTAACTATTAACATAATATAAGTAATAAGCTATATAATTATGTATATAATTAAAATCTCATTATTAATAGGTATAAAACACTGTTATGGATATCACAAAATAATTTTAATCATGACTATTATTACATTGAGTAAAACCAGTTAAATATAAAGAACGAATAGAAATAATAAAAAAACTTGAAAGATGTGAAAGTACAGTAAGAAAGATATGAAAGTACAGTAAGAAAGATGAATTTTAAAATTGACATTATTTATAATATCAAATCCTATATTGTTACATATTATTATACTTATAAAATCCAAACAAATATAAAACATGTTATATTGACTTATTTATTGAAATTAAGACAATATTTTATTTGTAAATATGAAAAAAAAAAGGGTGTAGTTAAATTGAATACCTAGGTATATCAGGAATGACAAGTTTTTTCTAATGTTACATTTACATGTCAAAAAATTAAAATAAACTGATTTTTTTTGTTTTTTTTTTTCCCCTACGTGAAAATAAAGTATGAAATATATATAAATAAGAAAAAAAATATGGTTTTATTATATTATATTAAATTTTAATTTATAAATAATAAGTAATTTAAGTTTTTGTGTGTGACGTTAGCCATTTGCCATTCCTGACCTATATTATGTTCATATTAGGTAGGTACCTATATATTTAAATAAATTATTAAATTTAAAATATACACATAAATAGATAAATTTGGTAACGTAATATTTGTTTTATCAAATTAAATATATAATATTTACAACACAAACAAGTGTGTTATATAATTATGATGCTATATAATCCACTTTATCTTTCATGAATTCTTCAGATACATGACCTAATGTTGGATGGTAACTCAACTCTTCAGGAACAAAAACTTTAACTACTGCTGCTTTTCCTGTTTTGTTTTTCTTTTTACTCCAAAATATATTTTCCAACCAAACATACAATTTCTGTGCAACAGACGCTAAACCAGGCACATACTTAGCTGTAGTCAATTTCAGTCTTTTAGTAGTAATATTGTGAATTGGCCCAAACGCCAATGCTACTACAGTGCAAGCTAAACATATGACATTGTAAGGCATACTAAAATCAGGCGTTGGTAGTGTGATGATGAAATTTTCTGTTTTCAAACAAATTAAGTAATCGGATCCAGTTGAATTTAGATTGTCTACAATCAATGACTTATCAAACGTTAGAGAAGTGGCATGTCTCGGAATTGTAGCTTTCACTATAGCCGAGCCAATATAAAAGCCGTGATTAGCATCTGGTGGATATTCTTGCCACTTCAAGAACACATAGTCAAACTGAACAGATATTTCTGTAACTGAACGTGGTGCAAGCTCTAAAACTATTTCTAAATAGTAAATTCGTACTCTTCCTTTCCCAGGCTTATAAATTAAAGCTTTTGGTGTGACACGAACACCATTGCTGGTCACTTTTAGTGTATGATAGTAAATTGGTAAGAACCATGGGATATTCTCAATGACAGTGGCGATTATAGACGACTTATGATCATTGTATATACGGGTAACTAGCCCTCCATATTCTTGTCCAAATCCAGTGATAAATCTATCTGTATACAGTAATGGTCGTAATTCAGACACAACTATTTTTGGTCTAGGTACTATAGCAGACAAATGAAATATGCCGTTTAGATTATAAACAGCAATATTGTTTTTCAACATATAATCTGGTTCTTGTGAAATCAAATAAGGAACACTACTATTTGATGATGTATCTAAATAGATTTTACTGTAATCTGCCAAAGGACACGTCTTGAACAGTCCAGTACCAAACATCTTGCGGAGAGACCAATCATAGTTGTTATTGAAACTTATAAATACTGAATCGTATACAAGAGAAACGGTTTGGCGGAGTTCATATTTACATTTCCCTGCAAGGCATAACGGCCTGAAATGAATTCCCAAGGAGTGATAGTTGGCATTGTGCACACGGCCTGAGTTTAATAGGCTCGAAAGGCCTCGAGTAGAATCACAAGGCAAAAGTTTTTTCCATGGCGTCAAATTTTCAGTGCAGACATTTTCTCGCGGTAAATTTGAATATCGATAGACCCTGTCGGAGGATGATTCATAGCTATTAGCACTGTTGATAAAATTCAACGACGTACACAGCAAACCCGACAGCGCGTTTGTCAGGCCATACCAGTTCTTGTCCACGTCTTGTGTGTCGTTGTGGAAACGAGCAGATATCTCAGCGCCTGATGGGGCGTCGACGGCCGGATAACCCCAGGACTTGTGTCTCCACAGGCCGGAAGTAAGGTCGACATTGAGTTCTGCTACATGAAATCTATCGATTATGTCTCCCAACGAGTGTGGGAACAGAGTGGAATGCTTGAAAGAGTCGTCTTCGCGGATGACTGTGAACTGAAAGAACGAATACACGTAGCCCGTGGCCAAGGGCTTAATAAACAATTCTTCACTGTAAGTCTCTGAATACGCAGGGCCGATGAACACGAACAAAAACCCTAGACATTTAGCGTTCATTTTACGCACGAAATAATAATATTATAAATACAATAATAGGTATTAGGTAATACAATTATACGTGTAGACTACAACACGTAAAACGTTTATGGGAGTACAGCAAAAACCGAAAATAATAATAACCGGCCGACCGCCGACGGACAACGTACAGTTGCTACGGCGTTTCGAGTGTTTGCGTACATTGTTTACTACTCGGTAGTCGGTAAACAATGATAATGATAATACAACATTGTGATAGGATTATCGAAAAATTGAATAATATTACCGTTTGAGCGTGGAATCTTGCGCCAGCGAAGAACGTTCGGGAGCGAACGAAAGACGAAAGGCTGTCCGAAAGCTAAGCTAAGTGGCTATCGAACAGTCCGACGTGAATCCATAAACTACAAACAGCAGAGGACTATAAGACAGAACGCACAGTGAAAAGTGATCTGTGTGCACTGTGCAGACGCCAGACAGACAGTTACGGATTTTTAAACACCGTATCGCCCGTATCGGCCGACCGACGGATCAACCGCGGCACGGCACTACACTACTACCATCTACTACCGAAACCGTAGAACAAAAACCGACCAGTTGTACCAACATAAAATCCCAAATTATTATTTATTATTACTCTGTGGCAGTGGTTTTCAATCTTTTTGGGTCCACGGCTCTTTTTGATTTTGAAATCAAATATACGGCTCCCATACGAAAATTTAAGATAATCAAAGGTACAGGGGGTCTATTTTGTACGCCATACGAATGCAGTTCGTATACGAAAATTGCACATTTTTCGTATGAAATTCCAATTCGGTATTTTGTAACTACTTTCGTATACGAAAACTTATCGTACGTACGACTGACTCCCGTTCATACGTAAATGTTACGTATGGTTCACGAAAATGGTATTTTGTACATTGTCCATACGAAATTACGTACGTACGTACGGTATTTTGTAACTTTATTCGTACGACGAAATCGCTCGTATGTACGACTGGTTTTAGTATGATTACTACGGATGGTAGTAGGGTATGTGAAAGCCGGTTTTCCTATAGATACTACAACAAAATAAATATTATCTCAATTCAATTAATTAATATCATAGCTGCATAATCATTTGCATCGCTGTAGACGTTTAAAAACGGTGTTTATATCAATTTAGAATTATTGCGACATAATTGATAATATTATACAATTAGTTACATTCTTCATTTATTGACGAAATGGATGACTTTGACTTTATTGAAAATCTAGCCGCGATAGAAGCATTAGACATTATAGAAGAAGAAGATGCTGCCGAATACCATAGACAAATATATACTAATGAAAACCCTTTTGAAGGTAAGTTCTTACAATGCAAATTTTATTTTTGAGTAGCATGATATTATTATGTTTGAAAATAGTCGTGGGTATTGAAAATATAAGTACATTTAATGTTTTAAAAATTACATAGAATTTTCCGAAAATAAATTTATCATGACGTATCGACTATCAAAAGATTTAATGAAATGGGTCATTAATATGGTGTCTCCTTACATGGAACCTCCAGCAACATCAAGAGGTCTAAGGTCTAACAATTGAAAGAAAAGTTTGTTAATTCTTATTTTTATAGCATATATGTACATAAACTGAATTTATCACAATAACACATATTTTAATATAGGTATTGACTGCTATTCGATTTTTTGCGTCAGGAAGCTATCAAAACGATATAGGTTTAAGTAGGTACTCAGCATTAAGTCAGGCTTCAGTCAGCAATTGCATCACAGAAGTTACATCAGCTCTGAATAATCGCCAACTTTTTGACCAGTTTGTCTACTTTCCAAGAAGTTTGGATGAATTGAATGCAGTGCGAAGAGGGTAGGTATGCTTTATAATAACTATAACTATATAGTATATATATTATATTATGGTACCTAATATTATAATAATATATAATAAACCAAAAGTATATACCGTACATTTTTGTATTCGCGTTATTAGATAATTACCCATAATATTATGTATTAACAATAAACATAATAATTGTTGTTATTATATAATATAAAATATATTATTTTAGATTCAATGAACTGTACGGGAAATAACCATTAGGTAAAAATGTACAATATAAAATCAATTATCAATAGGTACGCTTCTAACTTGTTATACTAACATTTTTAACCATAAATGGAATCTTTGTTTATCATAAGTTAAAGCATATTTAATATTTAATTAGGTATAAATGTATAATATAATAATTACCTATTATAATATAAAATAATTATGCAAATTTCAGAATTCACCTACCTATAATAAGTATATGTATATATTTTCAATATAGCTTTCCAGATAAGATATTTTATTTTGTATCTAACAATTTTACGTATTTATTTTATCATATACCTAATAGACGTATTATATTTAGAAATTTAAATGTAAACAATAGTATATTAAATTATTGTTCCTATAGTATTATAGTAAGATAGAGTTCCACCAAAATTCGTTTAAATGTATGGACGATGTCGGATGTAGCCATGAGGGTATACGTATTTTAAAATGCTGTTCGTATAGGTTCGAAATTAAAATACGGATAAACGTCATTATATAATGACGTCATACGTACGAATATAAATATAGTACGAAAAACATCCGTACGGCCAATGATTCGTATATCTTAGTTTCGTATGGTTGTACAAAATACCAAATCATGTTCGTATACGAAAAAAATGTGTACGAACAATCGTATGTACGAGCAATATTCGTATGGCGTACAAAATAGACCCCCAGGTCTAGTTGACCCCTGCCAAGAAAATATTACCCCCTCCACTCAAGTTTAGTTGACGCTTTAAATCTAACATGGTGTTTTCGATGTTCTAGTCACTCGATATAGAATGTATACACTGCAGATAAAAAAGGTACGAAATCACACACGATAAGTATTCGTATGCAATTCCCTAATTAGATATTTTAAGAATCATTTTTGGTAAAATCTGTGTAGTGACTAGTGAAATTAATGATATAAGATAGGTATAACTGGTATAACAACGGGTGCCGTATCTATAAATACCGAATTAATGTATGATAAATGATTTAAATCATGTTCTCACTATTTTTATGTACTATTAATATTATATAATTATATACTAAATTATTGATTATTGACTAGAACAGGCAGGGGTGTCCAACTTTTTGGGCCAAAATTGAGATACGCTTTGGCATCGCGGGCCAACATTTTTAGAGGAATATAATTTATAGGCGCAATTTGGGGGGTGCTTAGGTGTGCTTAGCACCCCCAAATTTGTTCACGTTATTTTAGATTTTAATAGTCGGAATGTATAGAAAAATAGAGTTTTTATTGTATTATTACATTTAGCACCCCCAGTTTTTTCATTGAAATTGCGCGCCTAGAATAGATCGGTTAAGAAATTGAAGAATCGATAAAATATTAAAATGTATTTAGAGAAATTAATGTTTATTTATATAGGTACTTTTTTTTATTTTATTACGAGTTTTTATATTATAAGTAAGGTTCAGATTTGTCCTTTTTTGACATTTTAAATGCTTCTTTTTTTACTGATTATATTGCTTTTAAATCCGAACCCTAATCATAAGTTAGTGTTAGTACTGAGCAAATTTTTTGATCATACAAAAAAAAATTGTGAGCCTCTCAAATCTTCTCCATCCGGGCCGAAGTATTCTCAGTCTTGTTACAAGACGTAAATTTCATATATGTCTTACCAGAATGAATTCATTTTTGAAAAAACAATGTTTTTGCATAACAATTTCCATAAATTATCTGTAATTTTTCGGTAAAAGTATGAACTACTTGTATGAAAGACCTTGTATTAAATTTCTAGCCTTAGTTATACACAATTAATATTTCATAAATTTTGAACTACAAATAATTAACTGTGGTTTTGACGAAATTTGAACTTTAAATGCTTATAAAACATAACCATGATGCCTATATGTATCGTTAATATTTTAACTATAATAAAAACTTACGTATTACATTTATAAGCGTTTTGACCGAATAAATAATTTTTTATTGACATTTATGATTTATAGAAAAACAAAATTTTTAATTAATCAAATACAATCCAAGTGAGGACGGTACAACCAATCTGGTTACCAAACAATTTTAATAAATTTCCATTTTTTTTCTCCAATTATTTTAGAAAGAGCTGAGCTTTCAATTTTGACCTCTTAAAAGTACCAACTAGATCCAATTTTCTTCCAAAAACATACATCGGGCGACGGGCATCGAAGTTTATGATCAGAGCATTTTTTCTACCAGAAAAGTTGAGAAGTTACAAACAGTTTAAAATACCTCAAATAAAAGTCTGAAATTATTAGACTGGAGAAAATAAAAATAAAATTTTCAAGCCCCACTCCCCCCATTGAATAATCCTGCGTACGCCACTGGTCACACCGCACAAAATAAAATAAGATCATAAACACATCAATACTTTAATATTACGTATTAATCGATGCATATCAAAAGAAGGGATTACATAAAAATCACTCAATATAAGGATCATACAGAATCGACTTCCACGCCTGTCTTTCACACAAGAGGATCCGATGAACAACGTCCACGCCAGTATGCACTTCGACAACATTTTTGACATTCAAACCGAGTGCGTTTATAATTATTATGTGTATGCATAATGTATATTGAGTTATTCCAGTATGACAGTCTAAATTAATTATTTTGTATTATCGAACATATTCGCCTTCTTAATTCTTTATTCACCTATCTATTTACTCTTTGCAATAATATAAGATTCTGTGACTATCATCGTATTATAGGCCCGTTAGAGTATTAGGAAACCCAGGACGCCACAGAGCGTCTTATGTATAAAACGTTCTCATTGGCCCATTTCAAATTGCCCGCTTTTTTTTTATCATTTATCAAATAATTTAATTTAATAATATAATATAATATTAATTTAAATATTATATTATATTATTTAATTTAAACAAATTAAAATAACTATTTAGTAGGAAAAGGTACCTAACTAATATTAAACAATATT